CCTCTTCCCTGCCTGGAGCTGGGGCTGGCACCTGCACGGCACCCACGTCGCAAACAGGACATCTCACAGCTCGGCTCCGGAGCCGGGTAGGAAAAAACCTGGCGGATAAAGTTTTCCTTGTGCCAACTTCACCCTCGTGTATGCCAGAGAGGAGCAGCGAAACACCGTTATCTTCTCCAGGGGACTAACCTCTGGGGTGCCCATACCTTTAGAGCTGCCTCTTCTCGCTCTTCCTTCGAGCCAAGGGAATCCCGATTCCTCAAGAGGAACAAGGGGGTTTGCATGGCAAAACCCTACAGCACGAGACGGAAGAGCCCGTGTGCTCGAGGAAATGGGAGATTTTGGGAGGGCAGAGAAGGCAGAGTGACCAGTGTCACAGGAGCGATGCTTAAGGGGGGATCTTTGTCCCAGGCCCCACAAGGGGGAAGGCCTGGATGAACAGGAGAGACCTGGGAAGCAGCGCAGGCAGGTAAGGAAGGGGTAAGCCCAAAGCTCAGGGGCAGGAGGGATCCTGGGATTGAACTGGCTGGAAGCGTGTGGGAGGGGAAGTGGCTCGTGCCGGGTCTCCGCTTGCTTTTCCCCCACCTCCAGACACCTTGGGCTCAGCGGGGCGGAGGGAAGACACGTACCGGCAGCGTGAATCATATTCAAATATTTAAGCACCAAACTCTGTTGTTCTGCAGTCCCAGGTGGGTTTCGCAGTGTTACCATTTCAGGTTTGAGCCAGGTGTGAAAACCAAATTGTTGGCACGTACAACGTACACACCAAAACCCACAGACTGGTAGATGCAACCACCGTCCCCATCCTCCTGGAGCTGCGGGAGACCCTGGGCACATCCTTCCCCCGCACAGATGCCGGAACAGGAATCTAGGAGCTCTGGGCTTTAGGATATTATTTGGGAAAAGGCAGGGGATGCTTTAGCTCATCGCTTGCCCCGCACACAGCGAACACCACCAGCTATGCCCAGGGGAGAGCCAGTGGCTCCGACTGCCTCAGCCCTGGGAGAGCCCTGATGGGGCTTGGGCTGACCAGGCAGCTGAGAGCCAGGCTCTGTCCTGCCTCCCACAAACCTCTGCAGCATTTCAAAATAAGCGCAATGGTTGGGCCTCTCTGAAGTTTGCCTTGTGGGCTTTTTCTATTTGTTTTTTTTGAGCCAGGAGAGTTCACATTCCCAAGCTTTTCCCTGCAGCCAGTACAGCAGGGTTTATTTTTTTTTTATTTTTTTTAATAAAAAAGAAGAAAGCAGAGCTCTGCATGTAACCTCAGCTTCCCTGAGCAGGGCATCAGCCCCAGGCACTGAACAGGCAGTTTAGAGGCTGAAGGAACTGGCAGCTTTAGAGGCTGGGGGGGTTCTGCAGCCCCATTTCTTCCTTTACAAGCCAAAAATCTCAGTCACAGCCACATCTCTAACCACAGCAACAGCTATTGGAGAGAGTCTATTTTATAAAGCTGCTGCCTTTCTTATTTGAAAGCAAAAAGCATGAGGGAAAGAAAAAGCTACCAAGTGGAGCCATTTTGATCACCTCAACCAGCTAATGCAGACACCGATGGGGCAGCACCCCCCAAACACCAACAATTTAAGAAAATAGAGGAAAACCAGGGAAATGAGGTATTTGCTTCCCAGCAGCCTACCGGCAAAAAGAGGGAGCTGCTGGTCTTGAACAATACAGGCAACTCCTTTGCAAGTCATAAGCACAGAAACAAGAGCAACCACATCTTACCCGAACTTCTCCAGCCCTCCAGGATTTAAGCACCAGCTTGGCTCCGCAGGCAAGAAGCACCCAGCTGAGCGCAGGCAGGGTGCAAAGAAAGCTTGCTGGGAGAAAGCATGTCATACCGCTAGCCTGCTTTGGGGGAAAGCTGGGATGGAGGAGGTTTGGGTGAACACCAAGCTTTGTAGCAACCTGCTACTCCAGGAAGGAAAACTGAGCAGGACCACTTTACAAGCCCCAGCTCTGCTGAATTTAAAGGATCAGCACAAATAATGCGCACCTGGAAAAGAGCTTCCTCTGCAGGGCAGGTGAGTCCAGAGGAAAGGGATGTCTCTTTAGGAGTCCCAGGGCACTCCAGGCTCTGCAGCGGGGTTTAGCAAAGCGCTTTGCAGCTGGGGAGCCATCCTGCTGGGGCTGGACCCAGCTGCTACCCAGCTGCATCTGCTGCTCCCGAAGGAAGGATGTATCAGAGCACAATGATTTGTTTTTATTGGGAATATTTGCTTCCTGCCACCAGGATGCATGTGCAGCAGCAGAGAAATGTACAGGGGTTCGAGACCTTGTGCACCATGTGAGGCAGAAAAGGCTTATGAAGGGGGATATGTATTACCCAGACATCTGTTGAGGCTGTGTAAATGAGAAGTGGCCAAGAGCAAACTGCTGAACCTGCAGTCCTGCCCACCTTCCACACGCGGTGGGCCCTGCGTCCCCGCGGGAGAGCAGAGCACTCTGCTCCAAACCTCACCAAACAGCTTAGCCTAAGGCCACATCTGCACCGGGGTCGGGAGTTACTGGTACAGAAGCTGCTACCCAAGCTGGGCAAGGGCTCAGAGCATCAGTCTGAGCCGGCGTTTCACCCCATGCTTTGTGCATGCAGGCGCCCAGTGAGGTCTCGGTAAGAGCATCTCCGAGGACAGTGGGGTTAAGGGCACAGCTTTAGTGCTTAGGAGAGGTGGAAGGGGAATTTATTTTCTGCTCATTCTGCTTTCCCCCTGTAATCTTAGTAAAACTCTGCATTGCCCTCAGAGGAGGGAGAAGGCACTAAACAGCAGAGGCTTCCTCCTGCCTCGTCCTCCATAGGGGTGCTCCATTGCATGCTGCTGTTGCCTGGACCAGCCCTTGGCGCTTCGGGACAGCTGCATGGCAGAGGAGCTCACGAGGGTTTGTCATCCTGCGATACCCTGGTCCCAGCCTCTCCTCTCCAACATGACAGCTTTCAGGCGACACCGCAGAGCAGCGGTATTCTCCCGCGGGGTGGTTCAAAGCCACTCTGCTCATTTCCAGACCTTTCTGCAAACACCAGCTATTCCAGGCTGCGCACGGCTCGGCAGCAGTGGACAGCAGGAAACAGCTGAAAGAAAACATCCCCAAAGCGGTTACGGCACATTCCCCAAATAGCAACGGCCGTTCTGCGGCCAGAGAAAGGCTACAAACAGAGGGGGAGAAATTCAGTCTGCTGCCCTGGGAGCGTTTTCAGGCATCAGTGGCATGTGAATGCCCTTGGGAGAAAGCTCTGTCTGCAAACTGCAAACCCCGTTTTGTGTGAGCATCTCAGTCTTTCCAGAAGTCCCAGAGCTTTGTGTCCGGCTCTCTATGGGGTAAGCAGTTCCTGCCGGCTGCTCCAGGCATGGCCCTCTGCATCTTGCCACAGTGAGACTGAGATGGAAAAGCCACAGCTGCTGCTGGCCGGGAGCTGCCAAACACCAGCCACGGGGCGTCCTTGCTGGGACAGGCAGGCTCCTGCCTGCAGCGAGGCTCCCTGGCAGGGGGCTGCGTCCCATGGCATGAGATGAAGCGGCGTTGGGAGCACTGAATGCTTCAGTGGCTTCACAACATCACCCGAGATTTCGACTTCCACGTTACGCTGCCTGGCAGGCACCTGCCTCCTGTCTTCCTCTTCGTGGGAGAGGAACCTAAGGGACCCCCCTTCCCCACAGACCCACACGTCTGGGCAGGAGGAGGGCGGCTGTTTTATAACCCCCCTCTGCTACCACCCACATCTGCTGACCAAGAGACTTCATGGGACCCTCATGATTTTCCCTTCCTGATTCATGGGGTATTAGTGACCGAGGGGAAAGGGCACATCTTCCCCTTCCCAGTTCCGAATGCAATTGGGCCAGAAAACCTTCTTTCCTTCAATGAACCCCTTCCTTGAGGCATAGTCCGGGTGCTTTCCCCCTCCCACCCTTAGCAGAAGTGAGAGAAACCTGCCTCCGCATCCCCCTCCCGCTCCACGGGCAGACGTGCCCCTTCTCTCTGGTGACTTCCCTGCCCAATTTCAATAGCACAGGGACTTTATCAAGGCTGCACTGAGCATCCCTGCGGCGCAGGCGGCCTCCGTGGCAACATACCGCATGCACACACACACAAACACACATGTGCACACTCACACTCGCACACACACCACCCGGTCCAGCCAGGGAAACCAGCAGAGCGCAGGACGAGGGGGTTTGGATGATCAGTCTCGTTGGGTGTTACCAGTACGGGGTGGTGGCCAGGAGGATCTGCAGAGCCATGGAGAAGCAGGGCAGCTGTGCCACGCCATAGGCCACGGAGCGCGTGGGCGCCTTCAGCCGCAGGAGGTAGGCGATGGTATGGACGATGCGCCCCACGCAGAAGATGAAGAAGTGGATCCTGGCCACTGCGGGGCTGGGATCCAGCAGGGAGTAGATGGCTCCGAGGAAGAGGAAGGGAAAGATGTTCTCCATGTCGTTGCGGTGGGCCCTGGAAAGGGAGAGAAGGTTGCTCCTTCCCACCAGGCTTCCCTGCCACCTCCCATCCCTTCTAGACAGAGCATGCAGCTGGGCGTGGAGCTGGCCCTCTCCTCTGTCGGCCAGGGCAGATGCAGCCCCCAAAGGAGTCAGATCATGTGCAGACAGCGGGATTTCACACCCGGTGTCTCTCCCTTGGGATGCTGCGCTCCCGAAGCTTGCCTTCCATGACTGGGACGCCTTTGCTGCGACGGATGATAGCTTGAGGGTTAGAGCTTTTAAATAAACAAAGCAAAACAAAGACCCTGCAAAGCTGCAAAAAGCTCAAAGCTGGTGCAGCACCAGCACGGCATGGCCCCAGATATGGCCACGTTACAAGCAAGGTTGTTTCCAGAGGAGAAACTCCCAGGATGGGAGGGTTTGTGGCTTTGCCCCTCTCCGTAAGTGCATCCAAAGGGGACCAAGCACCCCCTGCATCCACACGCTGTGCCAGCAGCACCTGCTTAATTGCACCGTCATCAGGCCAGAGGGACTGCTGTGGCCATGCGATGACACATTAACACTGATGGGGCCAAACCCTGCGCTCCATCTGAACATACGCCTGCCTCGGTGTCACAGCATCACTTGCCACCACCCACACCGCTACCGAAACGGGATCCGATCCTGCCATGAGCTGTCTCCCTCCTCCCCCAGGTACCATCCTTCAAAGGAGGGAAACCGGTCCCCAAAGCAGCAGGCTGTCCTTGCCCTTCCCACCGCCTCAGCCTCTCCTTCTTTTGTTCCCTTGCGATGCAAGAGCTGCTTTCTGCAGCACAGGGCCCCATCCCCGTGCTTCGATGGGGGGACTCTCAGGTCATGCCCTGGTCGGTGGAGACAGATCTGGACTGGAGAGTGACCCAGGCACAAGGCTCAGTTGCCTTTTCCCCACTATGTCTGGAGGTTTGAGAGGCAGAGGTGAAGCTTTGCTAAGAGATGCCCTTGCTTCCCTATTCCTGTGCCCCAGGATGTTTGAATGTTCACAAAGCCAAGAGAAAATTTTAAGCAATTTCTTCCCTGAAGCAAAGGCCGAAGTGCCAGTGCTGCTGTTCTGCGCAAGCTGAGAAGTGTCTGGGAAGTTTTAGGACGCTCAGTCACAACTCATTAGTGCAGACACAGGCTGGGACGGACCTGGCTGAAAACTGACTTTGGAAAAGAAAGAGGGCTGTGTTTTAGGCCCCGTCTCCTGCCCCTGGGGTCAGGTCTATGGAGCAGGAGATGTCCCTGTGTCCACCCTGGCAACAACCCCACCAAACACACCAATTTCCTCAGGCCAAGGTTTGCCAAAAGCTTCTCCATCAGAAATTTTCAACACCAAGTGCCCAGGTTTTTTGAAGGGTGACTGTTCCCAGGCAGGATCAGCCTCTGAGCAGGCAGATGGAGCAGGAGCTGTGGGGAAGTGCTCTGGTCACCTGGCTTGCCCCAACCTCCTCCCCCTCGCTGTGATGCCCGGGGACGGGGACGTGAGCAGAGGCTCCGGGTCCAGTAGCTGGTTCCCATCACCATGTCACACGAAATGACCTGTGTGCTGAACGCTGGCCACCGCCAGCGTCCCTCACTGCCCCCTTCCCACACCAGAGCCCAGGCCAGGCGCCGGCTCAGCAGGGCCAGGGCACCTGCGGGTAAATATTGCACCTAAGCCATTTCCAGCCCCGGCTTTGCTGGAGCATGAGAGGGATGCACAGCCTGTTGTATCCAGAAAAGAGCTATCCTGAGGGCTTTCAGCACCCCATTATCCTCATAACAGGCACCAGGGCAAGGGGCTTTCTCCTACCTGCTCTTTCTACCTCCATGTGGAGCAGTCCGTAGCTTAAGGGCCATGTCCCCAAGCAAGGCGGGGATGAACATGGCAAGGACCCTGATGGAAACCCTATTTCAGCTGCTCTCTGGGTGTGATTTTGGGACAGCATGGAGGAATTGGCCTAGAAAAGACACTAAAACGAGTCCTGCTGTTGTAGCAGTGATGCCAGGAGGACTCGGTGAGGATGAGCTGATCAGAGCCCAGACATAGAGGAGACATATTCCTTGCCAAACCCAGGAGCGAGGCGGGGAGCTGCGGGAAGCCCTCTGCTCCTCCTGGCCAGATGGTCCCTGGGCAGAGCCAGTCCCTTCCCAGACACGAGGATGGGCTGCCGCCCACCTGCTCAGAGCCCCTTCCCTTCTCAGCCCAGGGCCCCGCTCGCCTTCCCGAGCCAGCGTCACCTCTGCAGGTACAACCACAAAACCCTGCCGCAGCCCAGCCAGGACTGCGGTGATGAGCATGGTTTGCTTCTGGTGTCAGCCGTGCCGAGAGAGGGCAGCTGCCGGACACCCACCGCCTCGCCCCACAGCAGCCCCGTCCCGTCCAAACAAGCCCCCGAGGACTTGGAGGTTCAGCAGGGCTGGAAGGACAAACAGAAGAACGGGGAGGAGAAAGGAAAGAGAAGAGCTGAGACGCAGCCGGGGGCCTCTCTAAGAGGCAAAGGGGAAACCTCCCTCCCCGCTGCCGCTTGCTCTCCCGGGCTCTGCCCCTGCCCTGCACAGACCCCTGCAGCCCGGCCGTGGCTCTGCTCCCATCCCGACAATGCCTGAGAAGAAAACCTGACATCACCCTTGTTCAGGGGAAACACCTTGGGTTTAACTTGTCTTCCCCTGGGTTTAATTTGTCTTCCCCAGGGCTGTGAACGGATCACGAAGGACTGACCCTGAGTGCTTTAACTGCACAAGACAGACCCCAGACTTCCCCAGCTCTTTGCTGCAGCTCCAGTTATTTATTTTTATGGAAGTTTGTCTTTTCTGACTAATCAAAAGAGGATTATGATTATTATTACTACTATTATTGTCTTTTTCCTAGCAAGGGAACAGCTTGTTTCCCCTCCTCCCTCTGTAGGCCGGGGATTAGGTGGCACCGGATGTTTTTTAAAGCAAATCTTGCAGGTGACGAGAGGCGAGCGGCATGGTCCCCCACCCGCAGCAGAGCTGGCGGCCAAGGGCTCAGTGACAGCAGGGCACGGCTCCAGCCCCTTTTCCTGCACGTCACCAGCCCACGCAGCAATCCAAGCCAGCACTTGGGGCACCTCCTGGGTAAGGGGGACAGCAAAGCAAGCCCGGGGCTGAACACCTGATACAGGGTTTGCCCAGTTAGGGAGACAAAAGTTATTACCATCGTGTCCAGCCTCTTGCCAGATCCCCAAACAGGGCAGCATACAGCACCGGGACCAGTCACGCAGTTCCCAGTCATGGCGCGATTGTACTGCCCAAGCTGTGCAGGGATCTGGGGGGGTTCGGGGTCCTTTCGGAGCAGGGCATGAGGAGCCTGTGGGTGTGGGTACGGGACAAGCCCTTGGGACTTGCAGGACTTTGAGCATCGAGGAGGTGGTTTAATTGTGTCAGAGTCAGACCCCAAACCCGGGTCCTTCCACGTGTCCTTGCTCCAGTGCACACCATGCTGCCATTAAATATTAAGCTGCCCCAGCGTACAGGGTCCTGCAGCTGAGCTCCAGGCATTCAACCCATCTAGGTAATTACTTAATTAATGAGCCTTTTAGCTTCCCACTGCCTCTTTGCCAGCAGCTGCCAGGGATCGCCCTGCGGTGCAGGGGGAATGCCGGCACCGCCGTGTACTCGCCTGCGGCACCGCTCCACGTCGGGGTCGTCGCGATAGTACTGCAGCCCCCCATTGCGCAGCGCGTCCTCCGGGTTTGCAAATGCCTGCAAGAGAGAGTCCCCATAGTATATGTGCTCATAATGTTTTCAGGAGCTTTACAGGTAGAAGCTTTGCCCCCAGTCTTTAAGACCGGTGGGGATTTCTTCCTGCCCAAGGGGACCTTTCAGCCCCAGTTTCTCACCACCCTTCACAAACACAAGAGTAACTGCACTTCCACGGGCACGGTCCTGGGGGTTAAACCTTCCACCTCCCGACGGGTTTTCCTTATCCTCTGCAAAACCCAACTCTGCCCACCAAGCAGGTCCCAAAACGGGGGCTTCAAGGGAGCTCCGGCCTGATCCCAGTCCACTTCTTCCAGTTGTTGTGGTTCAACCTGGCAGGCAGCTAAACACCACACAGCCGTTCACTCACTCGCCTCCGCCCCAGTGGGATGGGGGAGAGAATCGGGGAAAAAAAAGTAAAATTCATGGGTTGAGACAAAGACAGTTTAATAGGACAGACAAGGAAGGGGGAAAAAAAAATAACACAGTGCTGTGTTTTGGATTTAGGATGAGAACAATGTTGGTAACACACCGATGTTTTAGTTGTTGCTGAGCAGTGCTTACACTAGGCAAGGGCTTTTCAGCTTCCCATGCTCTACTGACTGAGCAGGCTGGAGGTGCACAAGGAGCTGGGAGGGGGCACAGCCAAACTGGCCAGCGGGACATTCCATACCACGGGACATCATGCTCAGTACATAAACTGGGGA